GGCTACCGCTTTCCCGCTTCATTTTGGAAACACGAACACCATTTTTAAATCCTCGCCTCCTAGCTTTGTGGTGGTGAATTACTTCGTGGTGCATAGACCTCGACACAGATCCATAAATCAGAAACAATGGCGACAAGGCAACAGCGGCATTGTGGCCTATATGACATTATTGAAAAGGATTGAAAAACTAATTCTGCCATGTAAAAGCAATGGACTTCACCAAACCTCTCCACAGATCTGACCTGTAATTAAACTGCACCACTTAGATATATGTAGAGAGGTAAAGCAATAAGATTTCCTTCCCCTCATTTCTCCTCCTGTATCTCTCTGTCTCTGTCTCTATACTTCTCTGTTTATCCTTTTGTTTTCTCTCCCTTCTTTCTCCCTTTCCCTCTTCTCTCTTTCTTCTTATCTCCCTACTTTCTTGAGAATGTCTCTTTTTCGAGGTATTTTTGAGCTATAAAACCACCTCTAATTGAATAAATGTAAGTTAGAGCTGTTTAATGTCATACTGTGGAACATTCCAGACATAGCAATGACGTATCCATGGAAACCAACAGGTGACGTACCCCCCAAAACTTTAAGCTTTACATTGTACTCACTGAACTAAATGAGTCATGTCTCGGTCACATTTCTATTCTCGTCCAGTGAACTCAGGGCCGTTCACAAAACCACCAGTGACTCCTTCCTTTGTCGTTTCCTTGCTCCATTTACATGTTTCCTATTTCCTACCTCCTTCATCGTTTCCTTCCTCACACATTCAATTAAAGTCAATGAGCTTATCATGGTTTCCCCAGACACAGCCCGCTACTTTCCTCTCTTCTATCCGCTCTGTCTCTCCATCCCTCCTTTCTGGAATTTGCCCCCCTCCCTCTCTCTCTCTTTCACTGTCTCCTCTCGCTTTTTCTTTCTCTTCCACTATCTCTCCTTTCTCTCCACTTCTTTCTGCCCCTCCTCCTTCCCCCTCCTCTCTCTCTCTTTTTGTTTCCTTCTCCCTCCCTCTGTCCTCTCTTTCCATCCATCCTTCTCGCTCTCTCATCTGTCTGTCTTCATTTTCTCTTTTTCTATCTCTACTTCTATCCCTCCGTTTCTCTCTGCCCCTCTCCCTCCTTCGCTTTCTCTTTTGCTGTCTCCTCTCTCTTTTTCTTTCTTTTCTGCTATCTCTCCTGTTTCTCCACTTCTCTATTCCCATCTTCCCCCTCTCTCTCTATCTTCCTCTACCTCCCTTTGTCCTCTCTTTCCATTCCTCCTTCTCTCTCTGTCCATTTTCTCTTTTCCTGTCTACTTCTATCTCTCCACTTCTCTCTGCCTCTCTCTCCCTCCCTCTTCTTTTTCGCTATCTCATCTCTTTTTTCTTTCCTTTTCTTTCCCCTCCTCTCTCTCTGTCTTCCATTCTCCCTCTGTCCTTTCTCTTCATCCCTTCTTTCCTCTCCCCCTCTGTCTGTATCCTCTATCTTTCGTATCTCTCCACTTTTCTCTGCCTCTGTCTCCTCTCTCACTCACTCTCTCTCTCTCTCCTTCCTTCTCCCTCTCTTTCGCTGTCTCCTCTGTTTTTCTTTCTCTACCTCTTTCTTTCCACTACTTTCTGCCCCTCTTCCCCTTCTCTCTCGCTCTCTGTCTTCCTCTCCCTCCCTCTATCCTCTCTCTCCATCCCTCCTTCTCTCTCCCCATCTGTCTCGTCTCCATTTTTCTCTTTCTCTATCTCTGCCCCTCTCCCCCTCCTCTTTCTGTCTTCCTCTCCCTCTGTCCATCCTGAATTTTTAATATTTCTTAATTACGGCTTTTAGATGTAATTTCATAGAATGATCGTGCAATAAACGCACTCGAAAGTCTCTCTCCATCCCTCCGTCTGTCTCTCTTTTTCTCTACTTCTATCTCTCCCTGCTCCTGAACCCCTCCCCTCTCATCTTCTCTCTGCTTTGTCCTCCCTCTCTGTCTCTCTCCCTCTCTCTCCCAATTTCTCTTTTTATCTCTCTCTTTTTCCCTCACCTCCTCTTTCTTCCTCTCTCACTTTCTCTCCACTTCTTTCTGCTCCTCTCCTCCCTTCTCTATTCCCTCTCTCTAACTCATCTTCTTTCTCTTCTCTGTCTCTCTCTGCCTTTTTATCTCCCTCCTCCCATCCTCTCACTCTCTTTACACTCCATCCATCCCTCTATCCCCCTCTTTCTACCTCTGCCCCCCCACTCCTCTGTATCTCTCTCTCCCTCAGTCGCTCCACATCTCTGCCTCTTCATCTCTTTTGCTACCTTCCCTCTCTCTCACCCTACTTTTTTCTATCTCTCCCCATCTCTTTCTCCATCCATTCGTTCTCTCTCTTGCTTAATCTCACTCTTTACACTCTCTCTCCCTCCCTCCCTCCATCTATTGCTCCCTCCATCCCTCCCTCTATCCATCACCCTTTCTCCTCTGTCTTTCTCTCGCCCTCTGTCTTAACACCTCTCTGCTCCATTACATTACTGTTTCTTCTCTCCCTTCTGTCCTCCTTTTCTTTTTTTCTCTCTCTCTCCCCCTCTCTATCTGGCTATCTGGTTATCTCATTCTTTCTATCTCTCTCTCTCTCTTCTCTCCCTCCCCCCTCTTTCCCTTTCTTCCCACCCTCCTCTCTCTCCCTCTCTCCCTTCCTCTCTCTTACTTCCCCTTCTTCTTTCTCCCTCCCCGTTCTCTCTCTTTCCCTCCCCTCTTTTCTCTCTCTCTTTCTCTCTCGCTTTCTTTCATCCTTTCTTTCTCTTTCCCTCCCTCCCCCATGCTCTCTCTTCCCCACTGTCTCTACACCCCTCTGCTACACCTATCTATCTATCTATCTATCTATCTATCTATCTCTCTTTATTTCTCTCTCCCTGCCCTATTTCTCCCTCTCTGTCTCTCTCCCTCCCCTCTCTTTCTCCTCACCCCTCTCTCTCCTTCCTCTTTCTCTCTTTCCCTCCTCTCTTTTTCTCTCTCTCTCCCTATCTTTCTTTTTTCTCTCTCCCTCCCTCTCTCCTCCTCTATCTCTACACCTCTCTGCGCCAATACTTCCCTACGCCCCTCTTTCTCTCTCCCTCCCCTCTCTATCCCTCTCCCCCTTACTTTCTCTCCTCCCTCCTCCCCTTCCCATCCCTCCCTCTCCATCCCTTCCCTCCCTCCCTCCGTCTCTCTTTCATATCATGTTCACTTCCTGCAGAGGGGGTAGAGGGACCACAGATCCCCCCTTTCTCTCTCCCTCTCTTTCTCTCTCTCTCTCTGTGCTACGATTCTGTGAAAGAGCGGAAAACAAATCCAGATCTGACTCACGTTTCATTACACCGAAGCACAAATCGATTCTGAACCGGCATACGGCCATTTTCTCATCCACTGACTCGGAAACTCAGGATATAAGGAACAAAAGGAACACAACGGGGAGATTGGCAGCGGCTGAACATAATATAAGACTGAAATAATGCCTGGATGAGTTGATATGTTGTCATGGCGATGGGTTTGTTCTATCACCGTATAAAAATGATTGAGTTAATTGATTGGAAAATTCAAGTGTGTACCTGATTTTTACTGTCACGAAAACACGAAAAACAAAGGCTCCAGATTACACTGTTTTATGATCTAGTGTATGTTGTTATAATGTTGTTTCCTCATCACAGACAGACCTGAAGTTGTGTTTCATTCACATGTTTAACACACAAACCTGTATATTTAGGCTCTGTTCCACCTTGTATGTCATGTGGTAGTAAAGGAAGTGCTCCACCGTGTTTTTAAACTCCTAATTTCATTGCTAATCTCTACTGAACTAAAGGTAAAATGTAGTTGTCAACTTGAAAACTATCACTTCATAACATCACAAGGTGGAACAGAGCATTTTGACCTTTGGAGATGTAGTCAGACTAATAATAAAAGGTTACTCAGACATGTGTGAATGAAACAAAACACAACTCCAGGTCTGTTTTTATGCAGTAACAACATTATAACATGACTTAAAGCTCACAAGAGTCAATTTTGTGTCATATAGGACCAATAATTTGCAGTGATCCAAAGTTATTCCTCGCTTATCTTATGCATTCTGAGCATCCTAATTATTCACCACAGAGTATAAGCACTTTTCTCCTCAACTTTCACAACATATTTTGTGGTGCTTATACAATATATCTGTACTGAGGTAAGAAACATTTTTCTCAAACACATGGAAAAAATCTGGTGCAGGAGTGAGAATCGATGAGCCCAAGCCTGGTGAGAGATGTATGGTTACTGTCAGTGGATTTGCACAGTTCTGTTTCATGGGGGTCACACAGTAAGAATGCTTGGCCTTTTATTTAGAACCAAATTCTGCAAGATTTAAGCAACAATATAGAATTTTATGCACTGTGAAAAGTTACAGAAGTGTCCAGCAGAATAATAGGACTGTTTTATAGTTATAGTAAAGAAATAAATAAAACAGAGGGATTCTTCTCCAGGAGCTTCTTAACAAAATAGACACTCAATATTCCCTACATTTTAGTGTTGGGTTGCCCCCCTTCAACTTACAACTAAGTTTGGTCCAGATCAGCAAATGTAACTTTGCAGCACCAGCCAAATATATTGATAAAAACTTGATTCCCTTTAAAAGTTTATACATGCAGTGACCCTAATTAAACACTGCAGTAAAACCCACTACAACAACAGCTTTTTTATTATCAACTGCTCAAAAAAAAAAAAAAAATCAACACTGTACAATTATCCAGTTCAAAAAATCCAACTGATTTAATCAGAATCTCTGAGCTTTTTTTTGTTTATTAAGCATACCCATAAATAGCAAATACATGAATACCTATTATAAACAAATGTACTATTATTATTTAGCTCTCTAATACACATATAAGACTACTTGGGGTCAATTACTTAATCATTTTGAACTGAATTTCTCCTTGTGGTTCATTCACACACTTTGGCTCCGTGCTAAATGTGCATGCTATCAATATGATATATATAGATTGTGCATGTGTGTAGACAGAGACAGGGATATAAGAAGATGGCACGGCACAGCAAGCCCCTCCCTCAGACTGACCCAGGAAACACTCCCTCTACATTTGCTTAAGAGCACCTCAGCACCTCCAGTGCAGGTTAGTGTTGCTAGGCACTATTACTACTAATACTACTAGTATACTTGTACTACCACTACTACTCCTACAACTCCTACTGCTCCTACTGCTACTACAACATCACGTGACCACTCTGAGGAAGATCACTAGTGAGCAGTCCAAAGTGTCAGGTATGAAAACAAACTTTTCGTCTGAAAAAATAACCTAATAACATACAACTAGTACTACTGCTACCATTGCTACTACTGCTACTACTACTACTACTTGTTTAGGTACACTACTAGTGATGTTGTTATTTATTACAAGCTACAACTGATCCTGCTGTATAGTTTGTTTATGTTCAACATTAGTTTTGCTCAAACAGATGAAAATGTGTTACTATTGTGAGTGTTATTGAGTTCTTGTTAATTACAAAGAAAATGATCACATTTAGCTTAATGTGAAGACTGCAATTATTTAAGGAAGTACCCTCTGTAAACTACAGTGTAATGACACATTATTTAAAACAAAACCTACTAATCCTGTAATATAAACCTCCACAATAATGTTCAGAAATGCGCCTGTGTGTCAGATGCCCTGTGTCTCCACAGTGAGAAAGCTGCTAACCCTGTAGCTTATTCTGAAAATACATGGGATTCTTGGATTAGTTTAGCAGTTCATATCTTATCTTCTCTCAGATTTTTATGCTCCTGGGTGTGTTTCAACCGTAAACTTTGAACAGAATCTTACTACTAAAACATAAAGCACAATCGTTCAAATCAGTATAGCGTTATCAGTCAGATACCAGTCCACTAATATGAAAACCAGCGATGGGGAGTAATTTCTGAGAGTTACTTGAGTAATCCTCCTGAAAGCTTACAAATTAAAAGCTTTTTCCTGTCACAATAAGTGATAATGACTTTCCACTTTTAAGGGACTTCAGTTTGATTTAACTATTGTTGATATGTTTCAGACATGTCCTCCACCAGTGAAAGGAGCTCTGAGGAGACATTCCTGTGCTCCATCTGTCTGGAGGTGTTCTCTGAGCCAGTGACCACTCCATGTGGACACAACTTCTGCCAACATTGCATCAATCAGACCTGGGACACTGATGGGCCATGCACATGTCCTCTGTGTAAAGAGGAGTTCCCGAGCAAACCACAGCTCAGGGTCAACACACTCCTGAAGGAGGTGGTCTCAGGGTCTAATGTGGAGAAGAACAAGAGCAGCTCTATGGATCACATGCCTCACTTTAAAGAGGTGCAATGTGACCTGTGCTCTGAGCCCAAGCTAAAGGCCCTCAAGTCCTGCCTGGTGTGTCTGTCCTCCTTCTGTGAGAGCCACCTCCAGCCTCATCTCACAGTCTCTGGACTGAAAAGACATCAGCTGATGGAGCCTGTGGAAAACCTTGAAGACAGGATGTGTCCCACACACCAGCGCCCCCTGGAGCTATTCTGTGGCACTGACCAGATCTTTGTCTGTACCGTGTGTGTCCTAGAGCACAAGAACCATGAGTTACTGTCTCTGGAGGAGGCGTGTGAGTGCAGGAGATCCTCTCTATTGCTGATTCAGGCTCAGAGCCAGCACATGGTGGAGCAGAGGAGGCAGAAGATTCAGGAGATCCAGAGCCTCCTGGAGCTGAGTGAGACAGAGACACACAGAGAAAGGGCTGTGGGGCTGCAGGCCTTCACTGCTCTCATGCAGTCTGTTCAGAGGCGTATGGACCTCTTCCTAGAGGAGCTCCAGGAGAAGCAGAGTCAGAGCCTCAGACGAGCCCAGGATTTGCTGCAGCAGCTGGAGCAGGAGATTTGTGATCTGGAGAAGAGTAGTGCTGAGGCTGAATGTCTCTCACGCTCTCATGACCCTCTCCACTTTCTACAGCGCTGCCTTGCACTCACGCCCCCCACTGGTCTTAAGGAGTGGAGCAGCGTGAATTTTGAGCTGGAGACATGTGAGGGCAAAGCAGCCCGAGCTCTGTCTCAGCTGGAGAACAGTCTCTCTCAGGAGTTTAACAAACAGTTCAAAGAACTGGCCTCAGAGTCTAATAAAGCTGAGCTGAGGAGAGCGCAGCAGTGTGCAGTGGAGGTGACTCTGGACCCAGACACGGCTCATCCTCGACTTGTTCTGTCTGAAGATCTCAAACAGGTTCATTATGGAGCTGTGAGAAAGAAGCTCCCAGACTCTCCTCTCAGGTTTGATAAATGTCCCGATGTTTTAGGAAAACAGAGATTCTCTTCTGGCAGGTTTTACTTTGAGGTTCAGGTCAAAGGCAAAACAGCCTGGGATTTAGGAGTGGCCCACGAGTCCATCAACAGGAAAGGAATGATCACTGCAAGTCCCGAACATGGACAGTGGAGCATCTCCTTAAGAAACAATGATGAGTTCAAAGCTTGGACTGGCCCTTGGACCCGTCTGTCCCCTCAGAGAGCTCCTCAGAAGGTGGGGGTGTTTGTGGATTATGAAAAGGGTCTGGTCTCCTTTTATGATGCAGATTCTGCAGATCTCCTCTACTCCTTCACTGACTGCTGCTTCAGGGAGAATCTGCTGCCATATATCAGTCCCTGTTTAAATGCAGAAGGAGCAAACTCTGCTCCTCTGGTTCTCACTGCAGTGGAGACTCTCAGTGATGTCCAAGTACCAAAGTAATAACCTAATGTGTTGTGTGGGAGCAGGGGTTACATAGGCTTGTGGGCTAAGCATTGCACAGTCTTCCATTAAATACATCATAATATAAAAATAATAAATTAAATATGTTTCTGATGTTACACAGTGCAGCTTTAAACTGTCCCTGTGTAAACCTTACATCATGTATATCTTATTTGTATCAGTCAGTCTGGTGCAAATATGAGGCCTGTGTTTAGTATTCATGATATTCAGGAGGAGCATACGTGCTGTTTGTCTATGGACAGAGATCGGACAGGAAGTGACAGTCCCTGAGGGGAAGGTACACACCCCCCTCTCTCTTTTCCCCTCTCTTCCTCCCTGTCTTTACCACTCAATCTCTCTTCCTCTTCCCCTCCTTCTGTCTCTCACCCTCTCCAAAACACCTGCTCAACACCTGCCCCCTACAGACAACACCTGGACACTGACCTTATGGGGCAGAAGAAATGCAAGCGGACAGTTTTTAATTTACTTTTGGGGTGAGGTTAAATTGGGGTTATTGATGCTTTTGAATTTAAATTAAAAGTAAATTAAAAATATTGAAAATTAGACCTGCTGTATTTAGTACTGTTATTTTCTCATCCTGTCTGTTCGTATCTTTTAATACATTTTATATCATCCCTCTAGTAATTAGGAGTTGAAGAGGCTCAGGAATTTAAAGCAAACCTGGTAGTAGCAGTAATAGTACCATTAGTATTAGTAGTATATATAGTAGTAGAAGTAGTAATAGTAATAGTAGTACTAATAGTAGTAGCAGTAACAGCAGTATTAGCAGAAGTAGCTGTAATAGTAGTAGAAGTAGTAATAATAGTATTAGTAGTCATAGTAGCAGTAGTAGCAGTAGTCATAGTAGCAGCAGTAGTAGTAGTAGTAGTAGCAGTAGTAACAGTAGTAGTAGTTGTAGTAGTAATAGTACCATTAGTAGCAGTAGTAGTAAAAGGAATAGTAGTATTAGTAGCAGCAATCGTAGTAGTAGTAGTAGTAGTAGTAGTAGTAGTAAGTAGTAGTAGTAGTAGTAGCAGCAGTAGCAGTAGCAGTAGTAGTAACAAAGGTAGTAATAACAGTAGCGGTAGTAGTAGTATTAGTAGCAGCAATCGTAGAACTAGTATTAGTAGTAGTTGCAGTAGTAGCAGTAGTAGCAGCAGCAGTAGCAATAAAAGTAGCAGCAGTAGCAGTAGTAGTAGCAGTAGTTGTAGCAGTAGTAGTAGTAGTCGTAGTAGTAGCATCAGTAGCAGTAGTAGTAGTAACAGCAGTAGTAATAACAGTAGCAGTAGTAATAGTAGTAGTAATAGCAGTAATAGAAGTAGTAGTAGTGGTCGTACTAGTAGCAGCAGTAGCAGTCGTAGTAGCAGTAGTTGTAGCAGTAGTAGTAGTAGTAGTAGCATCAGTAGCAGTAGTAGTAACAGCAGTAGTAATAACAGTAGCAGTAGTAATAGTAGTAGTAGTAGCAGTAGTAGAAGTAGTAGTAGTAGTAGTAGTAGTAGGTGGTGGTGGTAGTGTATTATTTAAAACATCTTTCCAACTCTCAATTAAGTTTTGCTTTCCCAGTTTGATTAGCTCGTAGCAATTTTCCATTTAATTATTTTGAAAGACTTTAATATTGGTTTATCCTCTGTTTTTACAAATGAGTTTAGTTTAATTGCTCTCAGGAAATGACTTTGGCTTTGGGCTTCGTATTCAAACCAAAGTCATGTTTGTTAGTGCGTGTAATTAGATGTAAAATACAACAAAAACACAAAATTACTACAAAATAATTGTACCATTATAATCACGCAAGTTTAGCCACATCATGCTAATCAGTTCTATTCGCCTGGACTATTCACAATAATAATCACATAATTTAGAACTCAATTTAGTTCCCAATTTTGATATTACAATGATAATTTAAAAAAAAAAAGTTTTAGTAGTAAATGGTGTACTGTCCCGGTATATCTTGAAAAAAAGAAAAGAAAACAAACAAACTAACAAAATGATAACATTGCTAACAACGTGCTAATAGTGCTAACAACATGCTAATATTGTTAACAACTGCTAACACTAATATAAGAAATGACAAAAAACTAAATTGTATTGTTTCTTTGCAACCTAAAAATCTAAATATTAAAAATTATGTTTGAATTATGGTGTTTGTGCTATATTAAAGGTCCTATATTACACAAATTAACTCTTGTGAGCTTTAAATGATGTTGTAGTGTTGTTACATCTAGGTTGACCAGATGTCTAAAGTTTTGAGCCCTGCGTCCCTTTTTTTTTCTCTTTATACAAGAAATGGCCCTATTTTGGACCATCTTGATCCCTGCCAACAATAAAGAGAGGCATAAATTGTCATTTGTTTAGGTAAAATACAGAAATGCTGCTTAAAAAGGATCAATACACAAAGAAAATGTGACTATACTGACTCATGTTAGGTCCGAGTGCAGAACCATTTTCCTTAATTACTCACTCATTTTCCAATTTTATTATTACCAACCAACCCAAACCAGGGATGTCCCAGTTTTTTATTTTGAACATCTGCTCATGTCCTCAAAAACAGACCTGGAGTTGTATTTGTTTCATTTACACATGTTTGACTAACTCTTTATTATTAGTCTGTCTACATTTCCAAAGCTCAAAATGCTTTTAGGGTTAACAGCTACCTTTTGTTCAGTATAGATTGGCAATTATGTGAAATTATCTGAATAAGTGGTTCTCAAACTTTTTAATTTGCCATGTAAGAAACTCGTTGTCCTTCTGGGTATCCTTCGATCTAAAATCTGGTCTAAAACAGGACTTCTATTGATGTAAACGAGGACAAAACCACACAAATCTGGATTAAACTGACTCTAAATTCTGAATGAGAGAATTGTGTACCATACCACAGATGAGTTCAGCCTAAATATGCGGGATTTGTGTATTAAACATGTGTGAATGAAATAAAACACAACTCCAGGTCTTATGATGTTGTGATGAGGAAACAACATTATTTATACCACAGATCAGAACATAGCGTAACATGGGCCCTTTAAAGTAAACATATGGATGTATTCATGCAACAGCAAACATTTGGGAATACTGTACCTGTCTGGTCTGTCTACAATGTTAGTTTAGTTCAGTGTAATTTTCTTTTCAAACCCTTCAACATTTTTGGTCTCGCGAGAATTAAAGGAGGATACCACGTTGTCTGTTGCCATAGAGACGGTGGAGGAGAATTCTGTGTAAATAAAAAACATATATATATATAGAGGTAGTACTTATAGATCTGAAGTTACTCGTCAGCCAGTTCAGTCAGACAGGAAGGGCATCTGGTATAAAAACAGTAATACAGCAGTCATTTTTTACTCTCTATACCCCCTCTCTCTCATCTCTCTCTCTCTCTTTCTCTCTCTCTCCTCTCTTCCTCCTTCTCTCTCTTACCCCCTAGCCTTTTCTCTCCTCTCATTTTCTCTTTCTGTATAATTCTCTCCCTCTTTTTTTTCTCTCTCTGCCTCTCTATTTGTCTTTCTTTCTCTCTCTCCCTCTCTTCTCTCATCCTTCCATATGCAGTTCTCTCCCTCTCCTACCCTCTCACTTGCCCCTCTCTCCATATCTCTCCCTCTTCTTCTAGTCTTTCTTTACCTCTTTTTCTTTTCATACCCTATCCCCTCCACACCATCCTCTCTCTCAAGCGCTCCCTCCCTCTTCTTCTCTCTCTCCTACCCCTCTCTACCTTCCTCCCTCCTCTCTACATCTCTCCTTCTCCCTCTCTCTACATCTAACTCTCTCTTGCCTTTTCTCAATCTCTCTCTCTTCTTTCTTTACCTCTCTACCACCTCTGTCACCTTCTCTCTCCATCCTTCTCCTTTCTCTTTATCACATTCTATCCCCTATCGTCTCTCTCAATCTTTTTCTCCCTTTCTCTCCTTTCTTTCCCTTTCTCTCTCTCTTTCTCCCTCTCTCCCTTCCACTCTCCTCTCTCAATCTCTCACTCTCTCTATTCCTCTTGCATGCCCCTCTCTCCATCTCCCTCTCTCTCTGTTCTTTCTTTACCTGTCTACCTCCTCTTTCACCTTTCCCTTCTCTCCGTCTCACCCTTCTTTATTCCACCGTTTCCTCCTCCTTTCTTTTTATCACATTCTATCCCCTCCACCCCATCCTCTCTCTCAATCTCTCCCTCCCTCTTCCTCTCTCTCTCTCTCCTCCCCCTCTCTCTATCCCTTCTCTCAACTCCTCTTTCCCTCCTCTCCTCCTCAATCTTATTTATCCCTCCCTTTCCTCCTCCTTTTTCCTTTCACACTCTATCCCATCCACCTCATCCTCTCTCTCTCTCTCTCTCCCTCCCTCCTCTCTCCATCTCTTCTTCTCCCTCCCTCCTCCTCTCCCTCTCTCCCCACAGCAGTGACTGGGGCAATAATAATGAGGTTCATAATTAAAAGAGTTCTTGGTTTGGAGCAGGCTCAGCTCAGCAGGAGCCCAACACAGACAAGAGCCAGAGGAGAGAACACTGCAGAGAAACACATCTACTACAGAACTGTACTACAGGGGTATGTTATAAAGATGTAATTACTATAGTATTACAGTTGTATCCCTATTACATTGTCCTGTTAAATCTTTTTTTTTTTTATTATATATAAATATTGAGCCTTTTCACCAATAAAACGAGTTGTGCTTAAAGGTGCATTGTATAACTTTCCTGCTGGAATTTGTTGAACCTTTCTATCTTCCTGGAGACCAAATCAGTCCAAGTTACAGGTCAGATCTGTGGAGAGGTGACCCCATTCACAGTCAGAATGCCTGTTTTTAGATATTTTTTATAAAAACAAGCTGTAATTGAATAAATGTAAAGTAGAGCTGTTCAATGTCATACTGTGGGACATTCCAGGTAAAGCAATGATAGAAATAAGCCAGTCTGAAAAAAGAAACTAATAACATAAATTATCAGAAGGCCAAATGAACCTCATTAGACTAATCAGGTGAAGTACCCTCAACCAAAAAGTTACATACCTTTAAAAGCAGTTTCTGATTTCTGTTTTACTGTCTTAAAAACGTAAAACACAGAATAATTAATTTAAAACAAGAACTGCTTATACAATCTGTACTGGGAGACAGGCCTTAAAAAATATAGATTTTCTTATAAAGATAACCCACAATAATCAATATAATTACAGGATATAGGAATTGATGGGTTTTGGATTTGACTATTTAAAATGACATTGATGGTACACAGTGTCATCTGACAGAATCCAAGGTTAGTCCTGTTTGAGTCTTGGTTCAGTCCTGGTCTATCCCTGGGTCACAGTGATTATAGTCCTGGTTTAGATCTGGGTTAATCCTGGTTGAGTTTTTGTTTAGTAATTTGAAAGAAGAATTATCTTAGTTAAAACTATTTACCAATTTATACGATGTGCTAGTAATATCAGTCATCTCAACTATCACTGCATACTGTATTTTACTTATCGATCTCCATGGAGACAAGCAGGTGACAGCCAGATCTGTGGAGAGGTGACCATGCTCATAACAATGCATGTTTTTCATCACATTGTTAAAGTTCACAGATAAACAAGTTGTAAATGAATAAATGCAATATGGATAATTAATGTAATGCCATACTGTGTAACATTATAGGCCAAGCAGTTGAATGGAAACAAGCAGAAAAGTTTTCACACCTTTAACTTCGAAGGTTATTTTATATAGCAGCCCGTAAATATAAAAAGACATTGAACATAAAAAGAATATAGTGTTTAAAAATGACTGTATTATAAAGGGAATTGAAAAGCTCTTGTCACAAATGTTTCCTATTATTCCTTTATTGAAAAGCCAAAACACAAAAGAGAACGCTCTGTTATTGTTTAGTTAAGAGCACTCAGCTTAAATATGACTTCATTTTGCACTGAAAGCACCAGTTTAGACAAAACATGGAAAAACCTCGACTCATATAATACTTTGCATTTGAGGTAGTAGTAGTAGTAGTAGTACCAGTAGTAGTAGTAGTAGTAGTA